GATGGAAGAGGGGGAACATCCAGGTGAGGGATGGAAGAGGGAGAACACCCAGGTGAGGGATGGAAGAGGGGGAACATCCAGGTGAGGGATGGAACAGGGGGAACACCCAGGTGAGGGATGGAAGAGGAGGAGCATCCAGGTGAGAGATGGAACAGGGGGAGCATCCAGGTGAGAGATGGAACAGGGGGAGCACCCAGGTGAGGGATGGAACAGGGGGAACATCCAGGTGAGGGATGGAAGAGGGGGAACATCCAGGTAAGGGATGGAACAGGGGGAACATCCAGGTGAGGGATGGAACAGGGGGAACACCTCTGGGCTGTAAAGCTCCCTGGACATCCCTGTGCAGGTGGAGGGCAGCGAGGTGGGGGCTCCAAGCCTGGCTGTGCTACCAAGGCACTTGTAAGAAGAAGCCACGTGCAGTTTTAATTAAGCAGCCGAGAAGAACTGTTTTTTACAAAGATTAATAGGTCTGTGCTTTAATTATGGGGAAATAATAGAGCAGAGAGCTAGGGAAGTGGGAGGTATCAGAAAGAGAGGATTAAAAACTTTCAGGAAGCTGGGTGAGACTATATTTTTCTGTGCTTATAAATTTCAGAAGATCATCCCCGTTAATAATGGTTGGGAAAATAATAAATTACCTTCAGCCACACATGACAGCTAACATTAAAATCTATTTTTTATGCTTGTTGAGTAGAGAATTTCTGATTACAATCATCAGTTAAAAAATAAATTGTTCTTTTATCCAGTCTTCTAAATGTAAAAATAGAATAATTATCTCCTGAGTTCAGCTATAGTTTAATCAATACTTTTCCAAGCAAAGTAAAGGTAAAAGAGCAAAAGTTGCTTATTAGTTAATTATTATTATGCTTTCTGTAATTGTGCTACAGTGCTATTATTAACTTAAAAAATAATCACTCCTCTCTGTAGTTTTTTTTAAATTACACTGCAGCAAATGCTGCTGTGGTGTGTAGGAAGCTCAAAAACCAACAAAACTAGAGGAAGGAGAGGGAAGGGGGAAAGAAGGAAGGCCACTAATATTTGCAGTTTCTACTGGTTGTCATCTTTCCAATGACTTCTATCCCCTGTGTTGCTGTGGGATGCTTTGTTGTGGGAATGTGTTAGCCAGTGGGGTCTGTGTGCTCTGGTCTGGAGCTGTGCTCTCCTCTGCCATCGCTGTCACCTGGATTTATGGCACCAACCAGGAGAAGCTGAAGAGGAGCTGGGCTCCTTGCCTGGGGAGCCTCAGGGGTGGCAGTGGAGGGCTGGCAGCTCTTCAGAGTGTTGCAGGACAGCAAAGCTCTGCTCAGACTCACCTCTGGGGTTCACTGAAACCTTCTGTGTGGGGTTTCAGTCCTAAGAGCCAACGCGTTGCCAGATGCCCTCATGTTCACGCAGGGAAGATAATCCAGACTTATCACCCGTTATCTGCAGCTTAAAGAATGACACTGAAACCCTGCTCTTGGTTAAAATGAAATGCCCCTGGGGGGCAAGTGGGGGGGAAATACCTTCTAGGGAGAAAGGCCAGTTGTGGTGGGGTGGTCTGAGGCCACACGCCCTGGTGGGATCCCACAGGCTTGCCTGGGGTTGGTGGTTTTATTGCTCTTGGGGTTTATTCTTTGTGAATGTTTGTCCCTACACAACAGGTTGGTTTTGTCACTCAACACATCTGTGGGAAGGTTGCTCTTTCATACAAAATTATCAATGTATGGGGGAAAAAAAAAGAAAGACCAACCCTTCATTTAAAGGGAATGAAAGAAATGGGAAGCGATGCACAAACAGGGATTCATTTTGTTAGGGATCATTTCTGAGGTCAGTGATGGGATTGCTCCTTCCACAGTGTAAACACACACCTTCCCTGTTGCCTCTCGTGTGTGTGGTGGGACAGCCCAGCCCCTTGGCTGCTGCTGAAGGTGGAGGCTGAAGTCCTGCCCAAAGGACATCAGCCAAATTCAGCCACAGTTTCCAGTCAGTTCAGCCTCACCATGTCAGGGAACCTGCGTGGGTTTGAACTGAGGAAGAAGTGCTGTGGGTGCTGAAGGGGCTTCTCTGGGGTAAAATGTTCAACCTGTTTTCAGAGAACCTTATTTAGAATATAGTTTTTCATTTGAAGCCAATGTTATTCTGTGATACAGCCTGGTTAGTCAGGGGCTGAACAGAACTCTGAAATGCTTCCTCCTGGTTGCTGTTTTAGAAATACCTTGTCTGGTTCTGTTTTCATCAAACTTGAAAATCTACCTGGTCAAGTAAAATTCTGTTCCATTTGTAGTCCTGGGTTTTCAGGCTTCACAGGGCATTTGTGCACTGCATGTTTCTTGTGAATTAGTGGGGTTCAAATGAAAGGGTTGTGGCAGGTTTTTGTGTCCACGGTTCCCAAGCACCCAGAAATTAATCAAGCAAAACTTTGCATTTGTTTGAGAAGGTTATTTTAAGGAAATCCTTTTGTATCTGAAATAATGAAGCAAGAGGTCCTGTGCTCCTCTCCCCTGCCCTGCTGGGTCCCTCCTTCCCTCTGCAGGAAAGCCCTGCTGTCCCCAGGGCTGTGTTTGCAGGGGATGGTTTTGGGACAACGTGCAGCTCACCTGCTTCACCCTGTGCCTGATGAGACTCCCACTTTGGTCTTTTATTAATAAGCAAATATGTAATTTTATTTATTTATTTATTGTAAGCAAGGCTGATCTTTTCAGGCAAGCTGCAGAGAGAGCAGGGAATTAGAGTGCTGGGTTTGTGTGCTGGGAGAGGAGCAGGCTGGATTTCTCTCTTGCAGGAAGAAGCTGTAGTGCTACCACTCTCTTGCATGTTTCTGTACGTGTATAAGCAACCAGGGAGTTCAGTAAGATGGTGAATGGTCCCTGACACAACAGGCTACCTTCAGAAATGCTGATTTATCCCTGACCATGTCCAGCTGCTGCAGAAGCACCAGCAGAATAGAAAGGCCTTGTAGAGAAGGTCAGAGGATCTGCAGTTTCTCTGCTTCTCCCCAGTCTCCTCTTCATCAGAATCAATTTGAAAATGCTCATGAGACTTTGAAAGTGTCTCCTTATCTTCTCTGAATGGGATCAGACCCCACCAACTCCTGCTGCAGGGATTCACAGGTGTCACCCATGCTCTTGTCCTCAAAATGTCTCTTCCCCGTGACATCCCAATTCTCTGCTCTATCAACTGTGATTTTGATGCTGTATCACATGCAGCTTCTCTCAGAACCCTTCCAGATTTCCTGTTGAGATCATTAATTAAATAGACATTTATATTCATGATCCATTTCTGAAGAAATTCAGCCTGATGCTTCTAGTTTCTTACTCCTGAAGGGAATGTCATTTTTCCCCTTTAACAATGCTGCTTCAGCCATGAAATCACCATTTTCTCCCACCCAAGTTTCCATAGTTGTGCTATTTTAATGTTTTATCAAAGAGATGAGATCTATTGCATTTTCTTCTTCTGTTGGATCTCCATGTAAAAAAACCCTTTTATCAAAGAAAAATGTCCCATTAGGCTGCTGCACTGTGTGTTCCCTTCCTTCCACTTTCCACGTCACACTAAAGCCTTGAATCCCACTGAGGGCAGGGTGCTTAGCCTAAAATTTGCCTCATTCCCTCTCCCCATTTCCTTAATTGTTGCAAATACATTTATGATTTCCCAGCCATAGCATCACTTTCAGACTCTTTAAAAAAACAACAAACCCCATGCTCCTGGATTTGCAGTTTCATGCTCCCAAGCATGAATCCATCAAGGTTTTCTTCTGCCCTTGGCTCCATTACCTGCTCTGCCTCTTTTCTTGCTGTGGATGTCCCCTTCTTTCTGCAGACTCCAGAGGTGGAGTTGCTGAGCCATAGTTACCTCTCCTTAACCTCACTGCAGACAGGCTCAATCTTTTTCATCAGCTCATAGAAATAAGGTTCCTCCTGCATGTTGTATTGTCCCTTTGTCACCTCATGTCTCAGCCACCAGGAAGGACTCCTGGTGCTGGCTGTTGCTCCTGGGCACCCTTCTCCCACTCCTGTTCCCATGCTTTTTTCCCATCACCATTTATCATTTGCTTAGGTCTCACCTCCTTTCTCCAGTCCTCTTTTCATGACAAACATTTCCTTGTGTAGGGCAAGGTGGTACCTGGAGCATCTCTGATGTTGGTGTTCTCCTTGTATTCTCAGACTTCACTCAGTCCTGTGCTCTGCTGGTGTTTGCTGGTTTTCTTCCCATTGCTGTGTCCTTTCCCCTCTTGCTGCTCCTTCCTGCCTTTTCCTGGCTGCTCACAGAAATCCTTGTGCTGACTGAAGCTCAGGAGAGCATCCCACTGCCACCTGGCCTGGGGATCTCTTTCAGTGCCCAACACTTCCACCTTCTGACCCCTTTGTCCACGAAGCTTCAGCCATTGACCTTGATGCTGTTCCAAGGGCTGGTCGGGGCCGTTTCACAGTGTCCTTCCCTGTGTGTTCCTCCTCATCCCCACGTGCAAGTGAGCCACTTTAGATGGAAAGCTATTTTAGAGAGAAGTTACCCCCATTTCCTAGCAGCCAACATAGCCCATGGAGGCCAGGAGCACACTGCAGTGCCTCAGCACCTTCAGGGAGGGTCAGACCCCTCTCAGGCAGGGGTGTCTCTTTTTTTTGGTTGAGAATCGACAGAGGATATTTTCAATTAACATTGACCTTTAATACACTGTCCAGCTTTTGATTGTACAGATGGTGAAATGGGCTGCAAATTAGATGTTGCAGGATCCCTTGCTGTTTGTATGTCTCCACAGATGGGCTGCAGACAGGCTGCAGGACCCACACTGGTGCCTCCAGCTCCCAGTTCCCTCGCAATCTCCAGTGCCATGTTCAAACCCCCAGGATATTGTGTAGAAATGCTGTCAGACTCTTCAGATGTAGAGTTTTTGTTCTCCAGCTGTACTATTTGCTCATTTTAGAAGAAAAAAGTCTTCGCTTTATGGAGAAATATTTTGTAACCAAAATTTAGAAGGAAAGAACCTGCCTGGAGTACATCTGCTTCTGATTGCAGGGGCAATGTTATTCACTGAGCTCCAGTTAAGGTGACTGTTACACCCCTAAGAGCACTACTTTCAGTTATTGTTCTAATAATAACTGTAAAAAACCCATAACTATGCTGTAATAAACAAATCACATTTGTTTGAGTCCACATTGTAGCAAAGATGTTTTTAAAAACACTTCCAGAGCTAGGCTTTCTATTTCGTGGTTGTTGCCAGCAGGGAAGTCTATGTGAATTGAATGTATGTCTGCTTTAAATGCAATGTCCTGAGTGTGATTAGCAGTGACAAATCTAATAGCACTTTGAAAAGAAAAAAATACTGGTTTGGATTCTAAGATGTCATTATCAGTTTTGCTGAAGAGGTTTCTTGTGTCTCAGGAAAAGGGCAGTAACTGTGCACGGGCACACGTGGCTGCTCCTGAGCCTTATGGCTGGGAAGAAAGGGCTGCTCCTGTGGAACCATTGAGTCCAGCTCAGAAATAACTGGGGCTTCCCACCTGCTGCTCCACTGACCACCCAGAAACCAGAAAGGAAAAACGTAGCAAGAAAATACATGTAATGTTACTGTGTGTTTGTAATACGGGCTTGTGGTTCAATGATGATTTGCGAATTAACACGACTCACGTTTTGAGGTTCAGCTGAACACATTGCAGCTGTTTTCAGTCTAAAAACCAGTGGCAAGGTAATGTACTCACAAGTTTCAGTGGTTTTGTGCTTACGGTTTCACCTTCTTTCCCAGGTGTTACTTGGAAGATGGAGCTTCAAAAGGTGCCTGGCTCAACCGCTCCAGTATCATTTTTGCCGGCAGCGACAAGTGGTCGGTAGATCCGCGCGTCTCCATCGCCACCGCCAACAGGAGGGAGTACAGCCTGCAGATCCAGGACGTGGACGTGACGGACGACGGCCCCTACACCTGCTCCGTGCAGACCCAGCACACCCCCAGAACGATGCAGGTGCACCTAACTGTGCAAGGTACGTGCCTGCACCCGCTGCCAGGCCCTGCTGCGGACGTACGAGCGATCTGTGCGTGCAGAGGGGACCTGCCAGCCCAGCGCTCCGTACAGCTGGGTTGTCTCTGTGCCTTTCTTGTTTCTTGGGTGGCTGTACATATGCCATGGACTGTGGGCCCCTGCAAAGGGGTCGTTAGCCCATTAGGGAGAGGCTGAGGGAGCTGGGGGTGTTTAGCGTGGAGAAGAGGAGACTCAGGGGGGACCTCCTCACCCTCTCCAACTGCCTGAAGGGAGGTTGTGGTCAGGTGGGGACTGGGCTCTTTTCCAGGCAACTAGAAACAGGACAAGAAGGCACAGCCTTGAGCTGCTCCAGGGGAGGTTTAGGTTGAATATTAGGAAGCGCTTCCTCATGGAGAGGGTGATTAGACATTGGGATGGATTTCCCAGGGAAGTGGTGGAGACACCATCCCTGGAGGTGTTCAAGGGAAGGCTGGAGGTGACACTTGGTGCCATGGTCTGGCTGATGTGGTGGTGTTGGTCATAGGATGGACTTGATAATCTTCAAGGTCTTTTCCAGCCCTGGTGATTCTGAGATTCAGAAGGGTCTCCAGCTTGCCAAAACTGGGTTTAAATCCCCACTCCTCTGCTGACAGTTGAACAAGATATAAAAAATGTCAGAGGAAAACACCAGTCCAGCAGTTGAGGTGTAGCTGCTGGTGGTGGTGTTGGGCAGGGATCTGACAGGGGGTTGTGGCTCAGCGTGGTGGTTCTGCTGGTGTTCAGCCTGGTCCTCAGGCCAAGGTGCAGGCGCTGGGCTCACAGGAGATTCACAGCCTTGGCACCAATTCCTGTCAGAAACAGCCTTGTCTTAACTTCCAATAACTGCAGACAAAACAAGTTGATTTTGCATTAAAATCCATAGGTTTTGTTTCGCTCAGGCCAGTTTTCTCAGAGAAAGATCCCAATATTATCCATAAGAACAAACAATTTACTCCCATGAGACAGTTCTCTGTTGTCTCTGGTGTCAGTTGTACACACGTGGAGACAATATTCATTGCATCGTTCCAGGGTGAACAATTCTTAGTTCAGATTATCTTTGGAATAGTTAATGCCCTCGTGCAAGGGACTAAGAAAATAGTTGGTAATTAATTGCAGGTATAAAACATATAAACAGAGCTTAAAAGTAATTAGGCTAACTACCAGTATACAGAGAAATAATAAGGCAATAGTTAAAAATATGCATAATTATTAAGCGATTGCATTTATATCTTCAGAAATGCAAAGTATAACCTAAGGCTTTAACTTATTAATCTTCGGTGTAATCATCATTAACATTTTCTTTTGCATTTTTATGAGTAGTGAAGCAATGAGTGTAAACCAGAAGAATCCAAATGACAATCTCTTTGAATTCCTATGGCACACCAACGTGCCCTGTAAAGGATGAGGATGAAATGCTTCCCAGACTGATGATTCTGAGCCACTGCACCTTTAGCCCCTGGTGGTTGGTGGGGCTGTTTAGAGCGTTGCTTTGTGAGAGCTGAGTGTGTTTGTTGCATAAGGATCATTATTTTGTCAGTACAGCCATTTCTGCAACTTCTGTAAGAACATTCCCCAGAGGCAGCAGGTGTGTGAGGACCCATAAACATCCCGTGTGTGGGGGGGGAAGTTCATGGATTGCAGAAGCGTTTGGGAGCTGTTGGATGGGGAAGCTGGAGTGGAGAAGCTGTGACAGTAGCAGCTGGTATTTCAATTGTATATATGGAGAGTTACTCCCATATTATTTTATACCTTTTATGTAGGAAGCAGGGACCAGCTCCATGAAGCACAGCCAGAACAAGTGAGCCATTGCTAAAATAAACTAAAAAACCCACTATCCCTGTGGTTTCCCTTGTTGTTCCCTTGGCATTTAGCATGACAGGGAAGCTGCTGAACTCTCTGTAGAGAGGGTCCTGCATCCACAGGGCACAGAATGGGACCAGCAGCACAGGAGGATGATCCGTCCCACCTGGGCCATGACTTTGGGCATTTCTTTCCATTCCAGCTCCTATCTTTAGGTACCTGTTATTATAGATATTAATGATCAGCTGTGCAGTGGACACCTGGTAGGTCAGAGTCACCAATGGCTCATCCCACTTGGGTGGGATCCCACCCTGAATCCACAAAAGGTGGCATTGAAGGCAGCTGAGACGGGAAGATGGAACAGATAATTGGTGTGATGAGCTCATCCAGCCTTTCCTGCTG